TTTTTTTTTTCTGCTTATTGGTAATCCTTAGCTTACTGCTTAATTGTAACTCGTTTTATAGTAAAGTGTAGCGGGAGAAAAACTTAAGACAGCATTGCATCGCTTCTTTTTTTTTTAACTCCATTGTTTTTCAATTCTGACCGAAGCTGTATTTTACCGCATCATATGCTTCAGGTGAAAGCGTTGCTGGACAGAAACAGTTGCAGGAAAACAAGTGTTTTTAAATTAACCTTGCCTATTTAAGTCATGTTATCGATTCTTACAGTTATAAATCAAGGTTATTCTATAAAAGCTGTTGGTGTTACCGCTAGAATTGCTGTATGCTGTTCTTTTGCACATGCCGACATTTAATGAAGTTGTATATGCTGGTTTGATATTATGAATTTACTGAACACATTTGGGAGAGAGATGGTGACAGAAACAAGCGGCATTTAAAGAGTGTTGCCAGTGCGCTATCCTTCCTAGTGATTTCTTTTGGAAGTAATGTTGTGAGGAATTTTCAAGGTTGATATATTGGGCAAATGAATTAGTCGAATGGAGTCGTGCTACGAATTTGGTCTTCCCTCTATACGAACTTCATTTGCTGGTACGGTTTCTCGAGTCAAAAAGTTTCGGATATGGAGGCTTGTGGACTGTTGAACAAGTAATGTTTCGACAATTTTTGACGGTTTCAGTTAGAATCTGTTATGGCGGCTTCACCTTGTGCTATCGCCCTCGGCTTTACTTGTTTGGGTAAATATTAGTGTAATCTGGTAGGTGGCGCTCTTCCAGCTTTTGTTAGATTTCATTTTGAAAACAGTTTCTAGTTTATTGTTTATACTTTTCTTACTAGTTTTGACTTTACATATGACACCTTAGTCAGGGATTCTATTGTCAACAGATTCACTTGTGTAGGTATTTCTCCTCAGTTTTTATTGCTGCGGATATATAGTCCTTGCAAAAGGTGAAGGACCACTACGTTATCTAGGAGAAGATTCATGCTGCAGATGGTACTCATTTCATGAAAACTATTTTAGTTTTGCGAATTTGCAGCTATGAAAAACGGATATTAAGAGGGCGTTCTTTACTTGGTTCTACTAAAGGTAATTTTCACATAATTTCTTTTATATGTTTTTAGGCCGTTTCGACTCGCCTTACCACTTTTCATCTTAATTATTTTTTTGAATTTATAATATGCCATGCTTTTTCTAGCGCTGGAACGGCATGACCGGTAGTTTCTTTTTTGGCAAAGATGGTGAATTAATTGAGGAAGCGTGACAGTTGTTTAACTTTACAAGAGCTACATTCTCTCGTTCTGTAACACATAATATTGTGGATATGACTGAGGTATATATTTTTTGGTTCTCAGCACTTAGTTCTGCAAAAATTTTGGGACATCGCTGTATACTTAGCTTATATACATTCGTTGTTGATTAAGAGTGTGTTATACCTATTAGAATTAACACCATTTTCTACCGCTTTTTATTTTTATGCGTCTTAAGATTTCCTCGTGTCCGATTTTATGGAAATGTTGATATTAGGTTCTCACATAATTCTGTTGGTGATTTTCCTTATTCACTATCTTTCGCATTTTTTCGTAAGTGTAGCACATTTGCGTTCTGGTTAAACTTGTCTTTCCTATCAAGGGTTGTTTCTTCCCTTGAATATTTCACCTTAACGGATTCAGTTTTACTTGTAATTTGGAATAAAATTCCTACTTTGCCTGTGAACTCTCGAGTTAAAACACGAATTTCAATGATTTGATTCTCAATTCAACAGTGTTGCAATCGTAGGGTTTGAAGGACTTTCGCGAGGAAGGGTTTCACGTCTTTTTTTCTGATTTCTTTTTCTCTGATTACTTCACTAGATTTCCTTACAAATGCTTAGCGGTCTGAAGCTTTTGCTCAGGTTTTTTGAGTATTTATGTTGCTCTTTTATACGCATCGTTTATTAATAACTACTTTAGTTACGCCTCTTACCGTATCTCCTGGAAAAAAATTTTTTTTCTGGTCGTTTGGTAGAAAGGAAGAAATGTTTTTTCTTATTACTTTTCATTGCCATTCTTCTTTGATGGGATGGATCTATTTGCTGAGCTAGAGGGGAGTCTACTACGATGCTGAAATTCCGTCATTTTTTTTCTTTGCTGCAATGGACATTGTACTGATCGTATAGACGCTATTTGTTTAGTTCTCAGTTTTTTGCGTGTTCACATTTAATTAGGGTCTTTTGTTCGTATCTGAGGACTTGTGCCAAGTTTTCTCTTTCGCAGCCAATTTTGATTATTTTTTTCTTGAAAGAGCAATTGAAAGTTGAGGATTTGCCTACTATTTTTGGTTTTTACAAGGATATCTGAATTGTTTAGAACAGCTAAAATTATTTTGTTGTTCCAACATTTGAAAGCGTCATTCGTTAGCTGCTGCACTGTATTTGATTGTAGAAATTTTCTGTAGCAAATTGCAATACTTTTTGCGTTAAGACATGAAATACTCCGGTAGTTAGCGTAAATCCTGCTTCACCAGGTGAAAAGGTACTATTGTCTATGGAAGTCTGTACGTGACAGGTAAGCGACTAAAAGGAGTGTCAGGGAATTCCCAGTAGATTCTTAAAGGGTGTACTGTGGAATATGAAATCTAAGTTTAAAAAAAATTAGGTCTTGCAATTTAAAAACTTATTTTCTCTTTTATGAGGTTT